GATGGAGAGGGGGAAAGATCTTGGCAAAAGGAAAGCTTACAAAGTCTATTTAACTGATGTCCTGTCCATATGAATGAAGTCAGCAGCAAATACGGATGCTCAAGTCTCTGAGACAGATTCCAAAGGAAACAATTGTCAGCCAAAGTTATTTTTGTGAAACATGTACCTGTTGAAAACCTCCTCAGCCCATGATTTATTCATGATGTATTCACTTCAATAGATATTATAATCTTTATTTCTTTTTAAAAATTATCACCTCCTAGCATCAAATTTAGCTTGATCTTTATTTTTAAAAGTGCACCTAACACTGCAGTCATAATCACATAAGAATTTTGCCAATCTTTAGTGAAATGCCTAAGAATCACAAGGGTTTTTCTTTAAGAAGCTCCTGAGTAAGAATTCTATATCAGTGTAAATCACAAATCGCAGTGAGCATATTTCTTTGCAAGGCAAATATAAGTATATATATTCCCCTTATAAATAAGCACTAAAATGAGAAAGGAGTTCACTTCATAACACTGCCCTGGGGCCCTTTATCATAAGCACATTTCATATTTTCCAAGCAAACACCCTACCTTCCGAACTAGAATTAAGGCTGAAACAATATTTAAGAGGTTTAAAATCACTGGAAAATTGAAACTTAGCTGAAAATGGAAAACCCCCAACACTGGGAATTCTTTGGCAAGGAACCATTGCTCACGGTAATGCCTCCTTATGGCCAGAGTGTGGCAGTGGATGCCAAGGCAATTACCTCGTCTGCAGCTATTTTCCAATGGCAAAGTCAAGTATTTTTAGACACTCTCGTGCACGGTAAAAGCAGGCACAAAATCGGAATCTTCTCTCCGGTTTTCATCACTGCATACATTTCATTGGAAGGACCACAGCTCTTAACACAGAAATGGATGTACCCAGACCTAGAAAATACAAAGCTATAGATCTTAACAGAGAACTCATGCCATAATCCACGCTGCTCAGAACACTTCCGCAGAACCACATTAATTTTGTCGTCACCTGTGATTCCCCAAATGCCACCATTACATTTGTGGATCTTGAACCACTTTTAGAAGTGTTACAATCTTTAAAGATGCAGACGAGTATGTTAAGTAGGATTTACAAAATGACCAAAACTGTGCCTAAGACAGCACTCCTACGTGTCTAACAATGTGAGACTCCTCCGAGCTGGCCACCATAGGCTGTGCTGACAGTCAACGAATAAAACCAGATGTTTTCAAGTTGCAGTATTCCATATCTGTTTCTCAGATGTGAGATCAACTGCCCCTTGAACCAAGAGACACACATTAGATATAATCACTGGGCACAGGCACTCTGCAAATGTCAGACCATCCACTGAATAACTTTGGCATTTTCAAGCCCTATTGCACCTGTTGGGAGGATATTTTCAGTGAATAATTGCATCCTGGCTAAACCTGAAGGCAAACTGTTGTTGAACTACAGCGCAAAAAATCAGCGATCAATTTAAAATCACACTCCATTAACTCAAAGACATTTCTTTACCCATTGAATCTGAAGCAGGAGAGAGCTGCTCCACACTAGACACTCCCCCCCACCCCAAACCGTAATCTCTATAGGAAGTAGTGGTTACCTCTGCAAGTTAATGAACTAAACCCTGTCAGCTGTAGGATACCTAAACCAAAAAAGAAGGTGGTTGTTCTGTGGTTCAGCTTCTGCATGAAGCTTACCAGCAGATGCTAGTCTCACACCAGAGAAATACAACAAGCTGGTAACTACTCTGGGTAAGATTGAAAGCAAGATTTGTTTTTTTTAAACTGGTAGATATGAATGCAAACTAAATAAACCAAATTTTGAATAATCGTTACAAAGTATTCAAAATTAAGTTTTAACTCTTCTCTATTGCGCTGAAACAAAATTTTTATGTAAAATATATTGTTTCTTTTAATGGGCACCACTGAACAGAATTAGGAAATCATGGTTTAACGTCAAGGCTTAATCACTGGAAAACGCACAGGGATTCCCAGTACTCACAAAATCAAATCAGTGGAACAGGACTGCAGGACTCCCTAGGCTTCACAAGGTAATGCTCAGTCTTTCATATCGATTCCCTCTTCTTTAAGCAAATATACATACACATAACTTCATGTCCCCATAGAAATTAAACGTCATACTTAATTTCTCGAGTTTCAGCGTTGTAGAGGAGAGATTAAAAGGGCCCAGACAGTTAACTAATGCAAAATCTGAAACAAGTGAAGACAAAGAGCACAAAGTCTCCAATTTACATAATTGATTGAACTGCTAAAAATTGAGACACCATGTAAAGCAAGCATTATTCAACATCTAACTCGGGCATTTAATCTAAATCAATTCATCTAGCCCCACTGTATGGTCAGGGAAGAAAGGCATGTTGGCAGAGTGCTTCTCCCCTAAAATGAAAGGCTCAAAGAGATACACAGAATCGTAAAAATTATAGAACCATAGAATCATAGAATGATAGAATGGTTTAGGTTGGAACAGACCTCATAAATCATCTAGTTCCGACCCTCCTGCCACAGGCAGTGACACCTTCCATTAGACCAAAGCCCCATCAACCTCCCTGTCAACCATATGTTTCGGTAAACCTTTCAGGAGGATCTGTTCTAGGATCTGTTCCATTATCACTTCACTGATGACTGAGGAATTCTGAACATCCAGCTTAGGTTAGACATTTGCCTTTCTGATGGCTAGAAACATACAGAATGATCACTAACAAAGTATTCACTTAATGTCACAGGCTACTCTGCAAGCACATGCTGACCAAGCCACTGAACACAACTTGCTGGTCTGCCATTTAGTCCATTTGAGGACTAGAAGTGACCTTGCACAAGAAGAAACCTTTCCCAGCTATGTCCACACTGTTCCAATTGCATTGATTTGTATCTGGTGTGATCAAATCTCCATGAACTAAACCCTAATACCTGGGGGTTCTTTTTCCCTTTGCAGAACAAGATGAAATGATAAAAGCTCAAAGAAGAAAGGGGAGAAGATTCCTTGTTGCAGCCCAGACCCAGCAAGTCTGAGGGCAGTAAGGAAATTGCTGAGCCATGTACAGCGCTAACCCCACCACTGTATGGTTCCTCTGCTCACTGCAAAAGTAACTCAGTAAGAAAGACGCTCCCAGATGGGCACATACCAAAGCTACTTAATATCACTTTTATTTGACAGTGAGAGCCCTGTGTAGGGAGCACCTTTATTTCCATTTGAACAGCAAATAGCATCAAACCTGCCTGAAATGTAAAAACCACTACATATCTATCATTAGGCTTCAAAGAGACTTATATTAGTCTAAATAGAGATTTTAGTTAGAAACATACCATGTAAAAGCAGAATGTGATACAGCAAAAGAACAGCATCAAGCTTTCCTTGCAAAGTTGAACGTTTCTGACTCCCACATGCAATCAGGACAGAGAGAGACAGTTCTCTGGGAAACATTAGTTTGCACCCAGCTGGAGTCAAGCTCTACGTGCTCTCTGAAGGAGTTTCATGGTTTTGATTGCTCACAGAAAGCCTAGACCTCCAGCTCGGGAACTTATAAGCTATGTTTCTAAAATGAGACAATTTGCCTTTTCCTTTTTGTCACGATCAATAACGCAATCACTTCAGCCTCTTCTACTGGGGAGATATTCTTGGGAGGAGATATGGCAATTTCTACATAAATATGCAAACCAATTACTTTAAAGAAGAAATGAATTCGTTTTGAATGTGGCCAGAGAAGCCAAGGAATTCCTGACAAACAAACTTAATACCCAGGGTGGAAATCAACCACAACTCAATCTGTGGCCTTGTAAAGCCATCCTTACTCAGGAAGGCACTATAAAACAACTTTCCTGAGTTACATATGGGGGTTATGTATCAGCTAAGCACACACTGAAACACCTTTGTAATTCTAATACATTTTCTCTATATTATTCAAAGGTTTCTTTGCTTTATGAACAGAAATATAAATATCTTTATATGGAATTTATACAGCTAATGCTTGATCCTGCTCCATTAGGGAGTTTTGAAATTGTCCTATTCAGTATAAAGTACCTGACATAAAACACACTGTGCTCTTAACCAGAATATAACTTTCACAACCTAGTTTTTAAACTACATTGTACATACTTACGAGGCATTCATTTCCCTCTCTTCCCAGTTTAGTTTATCCTGGGCTGCATCAAAAACAGTGTGACCAGCAGGTCAAAGGAGATGATCCTGCCCCTCTACTCTATTCTCATGATACCCCACTTGCAGCACTGTGCGCACTGCTGGTGTCCTCAGCATAAGAAGGACATGGAGCTGTTGGAGCAGGTCCAGAGGAGGCCACATGGATGATCAGGGGACTGGAGCACCTCCCATACAAAGACAGGCTGAGAAAGTTGGGGCTGTTCAGCCTGGAGAAGAGGAAGCTGGGTGGAGACCGCAGAGCAGCTTCCAGGATCTGAAGGGGGCTACAAGGATGCTGGAGAGGGACTCTTCATTAGGGACTGTAGTGATAGGACAAGGGGTGATGGGTTCAAACTGAAACAGGGGAAGTTCAGGTTAGATCTAAGGCAGAAGTTCTTCCCTGTGAGGGTGCTGAGGCGCTGGCACAGGGTGCCCAGAGAAGATGTGGCTGCCCCATCCCTGGCAGTGCTCAAGGCCAGGTTGGACACAGGGGCTTGGAGGAACCTGATCTAGCAGGTGGTGTCCCTGCCCCATGGCAGAGCCTTGGAACTGGATGATCTTAATGTCCTTTCCAATCCAAACCAGTCTGGGATTGAATGAAAATTAAAAAAGGATAAATAGACACATGATGGGTCTTTTGGTTTTATTTTGTCTGGTTAATATCTAAAGTTAATCTTTCAGTGATTTAATATTGAAGACTTTTCTAACTCAGTAACAGAACACTAGGTTGAACAGTGCAAAATGCCCATACAAGAATGTGTGTGGCCGTAACACACTTGGTGAATGCTTATTTGAAAATAACTTGATACAGTTGCTGTGGTATTCTGTTAAACTGCACACACAGTGCATGGTATCCATTTCTCTTTCCTCATTAGCAAAAAGTTATTGTTCAAGTGCCAGTTTCTGCTCAGGGCTCTTTTTTGATGCTAACTGTATACAGGATAATTATGTCAAATTAGTATCAATCTAATTAAAAGCAAACTCATCCAAGACACCAAAACCATTCAGTGTTATTCATTTCTCTTTTCATTAACCCAGTCAGATTATCTTCAGTATTTTAATTATATTATACCAATCTGCTCTGTGATAGACACTTTATTGCTGTAGATCACAAAACCCAGCAGAGCTATTGCTATTTATACCTGGATTTATACTAAATGAAGATCTAATTTTGGCTATCAAGATGGCATCTTGCTGCATTTAAGTATTGCAATATTTTCCCAGTGTCCTCAGATACCTGTGCATGCTTGTACAGAGATATATTTGAAACTCCTTCTCTGAGATGTAGTAGTGCATGTTTTGAAAAAATAAAGGATAATCAAAGACAGAGAAAATCAATACCTTTGGTACAGGAATTTTCATGGAATTTTTTTACCAAAAGTGTGGTTCTGTAGACTGGCAAATGTATTCTGCTCCTTTATACTTTGGATCCATATGGTTATTATACTTGTGAGAAGGTACAGCTTACAAGTGATAAATTGTATCATGACAAATACACTATATTAATTCTGTTCCATTTTGTCTAATGCAGTGATAAGCATCATTAAATCAAGGGTTTTGCTGAACAAAACAAGCTTCTAGAGAAGGGAAGTAAAAAAACCCTTAATTCTTTAGGGTTTGATCAACATAAGTAGCAATCTCTTGTGATGTGCATAAATCAGGTAGCAATGTGGTACAGGCAATAGGTTTCATGAGCACAGAGGGTTCATGTACATGTGGTCACACTCTGGAGATCAACTTTATATACTTCTGGCTGGGAAACATAATAACTTGCAATAACTTTCAATAACCTAGATATTTCATTATCTTTGGTTTATTCTTTCTCTATTTAATGATGGTTTTAGACGCTCTGCACAAGCTATTGTTTTTTTCCAGGCCAAAATCATTCAAACTGGATCATTCACACATTATAAAGAAAAAATGTTTAAACATCTAAGCACAACAATTGTGCTTAGTAATGCTGCTGAGCACAGACACACTGGACACAGCAAAAGGCCTTAGACCCTACCACAGCTTAAGAACACCACAAGAATGGTCAATGGCAAGGGTCCCATTTGACTGCACAACTAAAGCATCACCATCATGTCTAAACCAACTACAAGCAGCAATAAAATGGAAGGAGTAATTTCTGATGTTTTACACAAAAGAAGGAACAGATGCTAGAGGGAGGTATTGCAGAGTGCTTCCAGTTAGATACAACAGGTATAAACAACATCTTTGAAAATCCTGTTCAAAACTGAGAAGCTCTCCCATGGCAGTGCTGGGAAGAAGGAAGAAAGAAGAAAGTAAGTTGACAAATAGCAAGAAGTCTTGAGCCAAACTGAAGACATATGCAATGATTTGGTGTATACTTGCTTTGTTATTTATCCCTCTGTTCAAATTTAATTATTCAGTAGACGGAAATCTTGTTTTTAATGACCAGAAAGAAATTAAAACTGGAACCCTTCTTCAGGTCCACTTAAGAATCAGCCAGACCATAAGATGTTCTTCCTTCTAAGCACCGGGGTGAATGGTTCCGTGAGGTAACCAACACAGAACACCTAGGGAACAGACTCACCCTGGGCTCAAGTCACAAAGTTAATGCTGACTGGCTCTACGTATATCAGCCACTGCAGGAACTCTCTCTTGCAGAGATGTGAAATGGACCTGGGTCACGCCTGCTAATCGTGAACAAAGCTGGAGGAAGGGCTGGCATTGCTGCACTAGCAAAGCTCCCAGATCCAAAGAGGAACCTTTGTTTTGCCTCCAACTTTCACCCTCTCTGCAACATATACACAGACACAACCTTCACAAAGGGTCTCGAAGGCCACCATCCACCTTGGGCTATTGTGTTACTTAAGTTTCTCTCCGGAAGATACACAATTCATTAATTCCAACCCACCGCGATAATGTTCACTTCAGTGATTCAAGTTTCCCTCTCTTTACTGGAAAGGTTCCATCTGTTCTGTCTGACACAACACAGGGTTTGAGTTGTGGACACGGTGATAGCAAAGGTGTCGTACAAAAGACTCAGACGCTTCTCTGAAGGTTGAATTCCAGTAAAAATCCTTCCTAACATCCTGATCTGTTCCTGAGGAACTGAAGCCAGAACTGACCTTCAGCCTGCTGAGTGTCAACATGGCATTTTCCCCCCTGCAGACTGCTTCTGAAAACAGTTTTATACCAATTTCAGGAAGCTTCTGGAACAGAATGATCTAACAGATTCTTTTTCTCTCAGTTCTGTGAGCATATAACACTTTGTGTGTTTTAATTTATTAATATGTGCTTATATCCACCTGAATTTAATATTTAACCTACAATTTCATTAATTATTGAGATCATAATGAAAATCATTCAAAAAGACTTAAATTAATCTCCCAGAACAAATGTGATCAGTTTCCCCAGGGCAAAGTGTATGATTCCAATATGATAATATCAGATTTTTATTTCACTCTCAGACACTGCTTTAAATCCATTTTTAATATATGGGGAAGGAAAAGGGAATGTTGCTTAAACTTCCCATTAGATACTAGCATGCAATCAAACCTAAGTTTAGAACTGTAATTCAGAATTCTATTCTCACCATAATTTTATTGCAAACTAGTATAACGCAAGTGAACTCACAAAACCCCACATAATCAGTATAAGAACATGAATGACTCACAAATAATTACTCTCCATTTCAGGTAGTTCCATTGTATATATAGAGAGATGCTACCGCATTCCTTAATAGGATCACAGACTGACAATTATAAACCATAAACCAGGGCTGTAGTTGCCTGGAGAACCTGCCCACAGATTGTGAAAGTATACTTACCATGCAAATGCCAAATAGAAGCATTTGGAAGAGAAGAAAGAAGCACCTGAAACAGCAGACACCACGATAGCCTTTCTAAAAGCAGCTTTGAGCTTTTGCAGTACATGAGCCAGGGCTATCTGCTTTTTCTCATACATCAGCACTGCTGTCATAGCTGACAGGGAAACAGCTCTATAAAGCCTTTGCCTCCTGCAATAGGACATCCCTTTGGCATACAAAAATGAGGTGGCCACAGCTCATTTAGATACTAAATTGTACACCATATCCCCCACAACAACCACAGTAACAGAGCTTAACACATCTCTTTTGTTACTGGTGAGATTACTTGTTCTCACTAACAGTATTGTACAGATACTCATAGTTTGTGAAACATACAGAGCTAGTGTATTACCAGGAGATACCAACCTGGAAAATAATTAGGTGCATTTGCTGTCCTGGTGAATACAAACCAAACAACTGTATCTTAACAGATGCGTGCTTACTGTTGACTGAAAAATCAAGCCAACACTTGTATATTTCATAGAAAGGAGAAATCTGCTATCATTGAAAAGCCATTAAGACCATTTCATGTAATATTTGAGAGGCCTTTTAACTAGGAAGTATGTGCAGATTGTTTTAATATGGCCCATTTACAACACAGAGCTGTGCAATCTGCCTTAAATGTTCACCATCTGAACTTCTTGCAATAAGACTTTTTTTTTGGCAAACCTGTATTCTAACAGCCCACATCAATGGCATTAGACACGACTGCAGGGACCACACTGCATTATCACATGTAACCTCACTGTGAGCCGGTAAGAAAGGCCCTTTGAACCACCTCGAAAATAGGACTCCAGTTTCTTTGGGTGTGGAAGACAGCAGAGGCTACAAGTCAAAACATCCCTCTCTGAGATTGTGTCTGCCCAAAGAGCTGTTCCTAATGTGCAATAGGCCCAATACCCTCAATAGCCATGTGTGGTTTTCACTAGACTTCTGCCTGCTTTTCCACAAAGCTGGAATTGCAGATTCTCCTGCTTTGTTTTGGTGCCTAACTGATGCTTCCTTCATTTTGCAGAGTGCTAGTTTCTTCACAATTTCTATTTCAGTAACAGTTTCAACTTCTTTACTCTCAGGCTAATGCTATATATATCAACAAATGCTGACATGCAGTTCAGTATTGAATGCACCTTGCCGCAGTGCATGAAGCTGCATGGGCTCCACTACTTGCACCTCCAAATGTGACAAATACACATGGTCTTAAGAAAGATGCAGGCTACATAAAGTTTGTCCTCAAGCAGGTATATGAGAATACGCACTTCAGGTCCAGGGTGGTACTGGAGACCCCAGGGCTATAAGCAACTCATTTGGATTCTTTGATGAAACGCTGATGATTTCAACCACACTAACCACATTTTCGTGGCTTTGCTTACGAGATGTGTACTTTTTGCACAACAAGACTTGGAGCATGATGACCAATGTGCATACCTGGATATCACGGCTGTAGCAGACAGAGCAGCTTGCAGCCAAATGCTGCCAACAGTTATCAAATAAATGCAAACTATGTGGTTACTATCCACAGATTATTCGTGGTATCTCTGCTTGACCACAAATTAAGCCCTGCTGTAGACAGTATTTGCCTATGTCAGCAGATCTTCCTTGTTGAATGCAAGGGCTAAGACCAAACCACATCTGCATCATAAACATAACTGCATGGATCTAGAATATTTTCCTAATTTAATGTAGTCTCTGCTTTCTCCTGAGTGTTTCCCTGAGACTTTAATTTCCTCAGTGCTGTTGAAGCACCTTTTCCCTTTACCACTTCTCCCACTTTTCCACCCTCAAGTTATTTACATACTACAGACAAGGGTTTAGAATATAGCTTATTAGATACTTCAAGTACAGAAGACAGCACAGGGTTTATTTTTATCTTCTCACTGAGTTGATTCATCGCCTATGCTGATTTTCACCACAGTTTGTCTTAGGACACCACAGAATCACAGAACAGTTAGGGCTGGAAAGGACCTTAAGATCATCTGGTGTCAACCCCCCTGCTATGGGCAGGAACACCTCTCACTAAACCATGCCATCTAAAATTCCACCAAGGATAAATAGCACTCTGTTTTTCTTGCTTTTTAACTTAGATTTGGTAATCTCTAGTGTTAGATCATCTCACATGCTCAGAAAGAAAGTACAATTTAGGGTTAATTTTCCCTGCCATAATCCCAATTTTTTACATTACATTGGTTATACTAGAGCAACTGAAGCCACAAGAGATTTTCTGTGTTGGTGTGGGCATCATAGAAAGAGATTTTACAGATGTCTGAGATAGCTCTGTATTTTATGGATATAAGCCTTACAGCTTAAATTCAGACTTTTGTTATATATGAAGCTCTGTAACAAGTGACTCATTTGCTCAGGATCTGGCTTTAACAGAAAAAACAACTGGTACCCCGACCACATTTGATTGTGAGAACTTAAAATGGTAAGTGGTAAAGCCCATGTCTAACCCTTTTCTGGACCCCCTCAGAGCCAAGTTGAACTTGAAGTTCCAATGTAACAGAGGTATCAAATGAAACAAGCTCTGTTACAGCTGTCACACGGTTCTTTGAGAGATGGATTTTCATAAGCTGCCATTCTCCAAGTTGGATAAATTGCATGTCTGGACAAAACCACAAACTTCTTATATCACCTCCCTCATTGTATGATGAGAGCAGAACAAATCAAAAAGGCTGTGTAGTAACTATTTTTTCCCTTCAAAAAAATATACAGCCTCTGTCATCAAAAAAAACATAAGTGAGATTTTGCTGGAAATTTGTCACAGTTCTCAATTAAAGCTATTTAAAGGAAAATCACTGCTAAGGCTACTGAAGAGCTGCATCACCGAGTGAATCAGTCATCAACTCTATCATTATCTCTTTAAATGACAACACTGACAGGTCTGTGTCCTCTTCTTCTTACCAGATGCTAGCTCAAATCAGGCTCAGTGTCCCTGTGCTACTGCACTCCTGACAGTAATCACACAAACCACTTCCTCCCTCTGTACTGCTATACACACTTGAAACCCCAATTAGTTTTCTTATTTTCCCTTTCATTCCTCGCTTACGTTTGTAGCAATTATGTTATTTTAGTCTCTTTTCAAGTAGGTTTATATAAAACAATATTGAAGTCTACCTCAATTAATTTGGCATCTTCCAGATAGAACACTATCTTGTTCTTTTTCCCCATTTTTTTCTGGAGGCCAATGGGCTAAAAAAAACATGTTATTTTTGTTCCTTGACACGTAAAGTGTAAGAAAAGTAAAACTTACCTGAAGTTTTCAGTACATGGAGGTCACTGACAACACAAAGTCAATTCAAAGGGAGCTTTGTCATCATCTGCCGCAGAGGAAAAGCTTTTCATACTGTCTGGAAATGTAAGAAAGGATAAACATCAGTTGAAGTGCAGTTGAAACTAAGATAGGCAAGAAACAGTTTCTAAAACAGATATTGAACCATGTTAATCTGTGAGCTCTGGAGGATAACTCAGAGATTGCAAAAATTTAATAAACCCCAGCATCTTAATACAATTACTTCAAGCATGCATTTAAGATACAACTGGAAATGGCATTGGTAATGACTGTGAGCTATAATTATGTGTTCCCTGTTGAGCTTTGCAGATTTCAACAGCTCAAATCCAAAGAAAACCAGAAAGAACAAGATATTAACAAAGAACACTGTAAGTTCAAGCAACTAAACCTGTTTGTCCATGCTGTGGTCCTACACCAGCTTAACCACCTCTGTACAAACTACTACCAGCAAAATTAAGTATGTGCTTGTATCTTGGAAGAATAGGGGATGAAATCTTTGAAGCACTGCTGCATTCTGCTAATCCTCAGGTCATTTTATGCCTCTCTCCGGAAGTCACATTCTAATATAGGCCATATAGCCAATCTCTGTAAGAGAGTATGATTATGAAAACAAACTCCAGGCCATTAAAATGTAAATCCTGCTATTCAACAATAATGTATCCTGAGTGGTGAAAGGTGGTCCAAAACCTCACAATCTGCTATAAACACATACACCTATTTTGCTTGTCCTTCAATTGTCTTTATACCATAAAGAGAGAATCTCTGCAAAATGCCATCCTAATAAAAGCTTCCAACTCTGAAGCTTCCGAAAAGACATTCACATCTTGTTCATATGGAACTTCACTGCTATGTTATGGATAAAGCTATTCCTTAAAACACAAAACGGGAGCTTTCAGAGTCATACCTGCAGATGAGTGCCCACTGCAGATCAGTAAGCATCGCATCTTAAATGCTACTGAAAGCTTGATGTGTAGGGAGGAGAAGGGAACTGGAAACCTGTATTTCCAGCATTTAAAAAACATAGGGATTAAACTGTCCTTTAAAAGCCACAGTGTTTCTAGATGCTCTCTTTCAGTGTAAATCACACAAAACAGGAACATTACACCTCTGATTGCTAGTATTAACTAACAGTAAGCTTTGTATTTCACCCAACTGTGAGTTCTTCCAACTATTATACGGACAGTTTCAAGGCACAGTAAAAAGGCCATCCCCCTCTGCATTCTACCATGCTCAGCTAGTTCTGTATCTACAAACTGACTGTCCCTATGATGATAAATGGTCACACTGCTACTACATTAAAGTACTAAATAAGAAATTAGCAGAAATTGGGGATGAGGGAGTAGGGGAGAAGTAAACTCCATTCAGCCGTAAAATATAATCTCATTAACAGTAAAGATTTTTTTATAGCAAACTACATCCTAAAACTCTGGAAGATTTATCTACCATAACAAAAGGTTTTGAGAAACCCAGCATTTCTGTGGCAATTCAGTTCTCCCCATGTGTTCTGGGCAGTACTGAATCTTTAAAGCAAACAAAAGAAGTTAAGATTTGATTTTCAGGCAGTTTTTCCAAGAAAATTCCCCTAGGCTTTTGGACTACACAGCTTCTTCATATAAAAAACCCCTTGCTGAGCTATTATCTCCATTGTTACTTCTGTTTGGATGAAGATGCAATGTAACTAAGGAATAAAATTCATAACTATTCTCTCTTGAATTCCTATTTAGAGAGAGTTCAGCACAGTAATTCCCAACATCTTGTCACATGTGTATTCTCTCTTGCCTTTGCCTCCATTTTTCTCTCATGCCTTCCCACACTTTAGGGTTTTTTATGCATTTTGTAGATATCCAAGATTATTTTGGCGCCACATTGCTCACAAGGTACAGTGACTGCCCTCTACTCCAATACCAACAAATGTCTTGTCTTTCATTTACAATTTAATTTGACTTATCCCCATTTCATAACAACGCTTAAAAATGCCTGAAAGTGAATGTCAAGAGAACACAGGAGTTACAGCTAAATGGAAATAGACAGCAGTTATGAGAAAGCTACATGGAGCAGTGAATTATAGAGTGCGTATTCCAAGGCCCAGAAGACATAAGTGGAATATACAGTTATCATTTAATGAAAATCAGAGAGTACCAATGTAGCTTATGGCTTCTGGTGAAATATTCTAGTAAATGCTTATTCTTAACTGTGGAGAGTGGAATAGTGAAACACAGAGCAAAGATACAATTAGGAAATTAAAATCCTCAACAAACAGTACTACAACTCTTGCTCAAGTCTTCTAAAAGATTAATGTCCCTTACTGAAACTGTACATAGCCACCCATAATCACTACAAAGAATAAAGCATATTCGTATTTGGTGCGTAACAGCTGCTGTCTTCTGTAAACTCAGATATGCTCTTCTGAATTTTCTAGATGCTTACACTGCCCCAGTGTACAAGAGATAATATCCAACAATGATACTATTAAAAGCAGTATCACAGAATCATAGAATCAGCCAGGTTGGAAAAGACCTTCAAGCTCATGCAGTCCAAACATTCCTCAGCATGGCCAAGGCCACCACTAACCCATGGCACTGAGGACTTTGTCTACATGGTGTGTGAACACTTCCAGGGACAGTGACTCCACCACTGCCCTGGGCAGAAATTAGGGTGGATATATCCAGGAGTACAACCTGAAATAAGGTGAATATATTTAAAAACAGAACAATCCTTTATTTTTTTTTCTCCCCTAGAAAGACAGAAATAAAATGGAAATCTTTTGCAAAAGAGAAATGAGAAATACTATTCTTTCTAGAGGAGAAATCTTAAAAACTACCAAGAAACTACCAAGTCCCACTGGGGTTTAATGTTGTTTTATTTCCAATATTGCAAGCTATTTCCAATAATGCAATTGTATACATATAAAATAAGTCACATTTCCTTGAGAGTTAAAAGTGGGTTTTGATATTAAATATTCATCAAAGAGAATCACAAGTGGTGATATTTTATTGGCGATTGACCTCATCTTCCTTTCCCTTAGGATAACTGGAACTGCACCTTCCATATTTTGGATGACTTAACAGTGTGGTTACTTACTTTAAAGACGAACAAGCTTCACTGCATTTCCAGTCACCCAGATGGGCAAATCTGCTTTTACCTTTCTTGCACAAAGCTTTTCAAATGTAGGTTTTTATTTCATATTTCTATTTTTGCTCTTATCTCAGCTTGTCATTAAAGTCAGCTGCGTTAATACAAATACTGCGACTTCTACACAGACCTAAGAACCAAAAGGAAAAGCACTAGCACATGAAAATATTTGATGCCAGCTTATTTGCTAGTACTTGTACAAATATCCAGTATGCTGATGTGCAGCCCGCTGAAGAGCTGTGCATTATCTAAGACTCACAGTATTACAGGTTGCAAGAGGCTGAAGACAGAGTGCCTAACCTTAACTAACTTCATTGACAGAGATTCCTTATTAGTTCAGTAGCTAGACTGTGAATTCCTGGAGGATAGCGTAAAAGGAACATTTGTGTATTAGCCACGAAGTCCAAAAGACTGCAGTTCCTTAGAAAAGAGTGTCTTTTTCCAGCAAAGGAAAGTCAGTGCTATGCAAAAAGCACTCTGCTGGAGGCAGGGAAGATGAAAGGAATCAGGAGACAATAGCGATAGATGATTTGCTTATAATGGTTACAAACACTAGATGGGGATGGACATCAAAATATAAGTATTGCTTCCACAACTCACTTTTGCTGCTAAGAATCTAAGTGATATTACATGTAAGGAATGAACTGCAGCCCATTACTTGGTTCCCTGTGTTTTCCACTTTCTTTGTATTCATTTTTTAGAAATACTCTAAGATCAGGTGGTAGAAATTATTTTCCTCTTCTTCCAATATACAGCCTCTGCTTCACTCATTTCACACACAAAGGAAGGGGCTAAATAGAACCTTTGCAGACTTCCAACACCAATTCACCACAAGATATTAAGGAGGTCCTCTGTTCAGATTTGAGCGCATTACCTGAAACTGAGGCTTGAGACTTCCTCTGCCTAAAGACAGTATTGTCTCAAGCCAGTGTTTTTACACTCCTAACTTAAAGAAGAATGTAGCTTTAAAGAACGTAAACTAGAAAGCTGCGTTAACGGCTGTGTAAGCAGAATAAGAGGCTTGTCATAAGAAGGCAGGTGCTTGAGAGGTTCTAAGGATGTGTAAAGAGGGCTTTGAAACATGTATGAAGACAGGCTAAGAAAGTTGGGACTGTTCCGCCTGGAGAAGAGAAGCTGCCTGGAGACCTCAGAGCAGTTTCCAGTGTCTGAAGGGGGCTACAAGTATGCTGGAGAGGGACTCTTCATCAGGGACTGCAGTGACAGGACAAGGGGTGATGGGTTCAAACTGAATCAGGGAAATTTCAGGTTAGATATAAGGAAGAAGCTCTTCCCTGTGAGGGTGGTGAGGCACTGGCACAGGGTGCCCAGAGAAGCTGTCGCTGCCCCATCCCTGGCAGTGTTCAAGGCCAGGTTGGATGGGCCTTGGAACAACCTGGTCTAGCGGAATGCATCCCTGCCCATTGCAGGGGTTTGGGAATGGATGATCTTAAGGCCCTTTCCAGCCCACACTGTTCTACAATTCTATAGTACCAGGCCAGGGTACTTTTGCTGCTGGAGGTTTCTTTGTAGACGTTTTCATTGATTCTATTGACTATTCTGTGTACAGGCTTAAGTGAACAACCCATAGTGCAAGACCCCATTGTATCTCACTGGCAATGTACTTACAGGTGCAGGGGGCAATCCCAGAGACAGTCCTGTAGCAGAGCTGCATGGGGGAACTGAAAAGAGAAAGCGGCTCACTTTTGGGAAAGGTCCAAGCAGAAAATTCAGGGGAAAAGCACAGTTGAAACTTCTCATAAGAAAAAATACAGACTTTGATTCCAAATGTGTTAAATCAAAGCCAAATCCTACGTTTGAAGTTGGAAAAAACAGACAAACTGAAATAAAGGTCTAGAACAACCATGAGAAACACATCACATTACATCCTGAATCTCACACAACCCTTCCACTCTGAAAGCAAG